AAAAGGTTCTATACCATGAGTCTTTTGTACAATATTTAAGGAACATGGAGTCGTTTTTTCATTTGTTTATAATATAACACCTGTACTACATTGTACAGGATATCAGAAAATCTTGAACCTTCTGAATTTGTCTGTTAGTTACTTGTTCAGTGTTACCTCCCTTATTGGCCACCTCGCTAATAAGACCACTTTGTTTCAGTTCCTCAAAAATCCTTTCAAGTCTGGCTGTACATTTTCCATGATTTCCATGGAGTATCCATGGACATTCCATTTGAAATTATCCATGGAAATATCATGGATAATTTTTTCAAATTTTCCTTGGAAATTACATGGACATTTCATGGATATTATCCATAGAAAATTTATCCTTATTATCCATGAAATGTCCGTGGAAAACGTCCATGAAATTTCTTGCCGGAGTACATTATAGACTATCCATGGGTAACATGATCAGGTCTAGACAATTAGCAGGAAGCATATTATCAGTAATTATCCAGTTTTGTATACAACTTTTGCTGTTTTATTTGGCAGAATCTTATAAAGCGCCCAACCCATTGACAATGAAAACTGAGACAAAATACTAACTGATGCCATTTCTATCTACTGTCCTGAAATATGCCCACCCCTGTAGTTTATTATGCCTATCTTAATGTCACAGCTATATGTTTGCCATTTGTTGCCTTGGATAAATAGTTACATAATATATACATGTTTTCATATTTAAAATATCACACGTGTGCTTGCGTTACTCGGATGGTTTAATGTATATATATTATACTCTACCTATATAGACATAAATTTGGTTTTATGACTGAAGAATTATCAGTCTTTAACTCCAATTTAAAATTATGTCGGTCACTTTTCTTTCCTGATTGCCTTCATGATTATGTATATGATAAACATATTATAGTAAAATGGTGGTCGTGTGGCAGGTAACACATCAAGTCTATTGTCGGTTATTTATTCAAGAAATTATCATATAACTCTCCAGGTGTTTTAGCCTGTTTACTATAACTATAGTATGGGACTCTCTCATCCATACACTTTCACGTTAGAAGAGAATCCATTTCACACAATTTTTTTTTTTCCAGAACTTAATGATGAGCATTGTTGACAATATCTGTTTTGGCTCAGTTAAGGCCAAACTGATGAGTTAGGATAAAACAAATTAAGGCGTTGAACTCCCTCTTTTTAATTGAATTACCTGGATTACCCTCGTACGACCTCTTGTACATGCATATTTTGATATCTGTGTCGACAGGAGGTTTATTGCAACAATTTTGACACGGAGGGATGCCCCTACTCTCTCGTAGTGATGACTTGTACTCTTGGTTGCAGACTTTGTGTATGACATGTTACAGCACTAGTATATATTCAACAACCAATGGGTATATACATGTAATCACAATACAACACTATCTTTAACTAAGTTGGTTCATGTGCATTCATGTATACTCATTTCATTGAAATCTAAACAGCTGGCATTGAAATCTAAATGGCTAGCATTGGAATCTAAACAGCTGGCATTGAAATCTAAACAGCTGGCATTGAAATCTAAACGGCTAGCATTGAAATCTAAACAGCTGGCATTGAAATCTAAACGGCTAGCATTGAAATCTAAACAGCAAGCATTGAAATCTAAACATCTAGCATTGAAATCTAAACGGCTAGCATTGAAATCTAAACATCTAGCATTGAAACCTAAACATCTAGCATTAGAATCTAAACGTCTAGCATCGAAATCTAAACGTCTAGCATTGAAATCTAAACGTCTAGCATCGAAATCTAAACAGCTAGCATTGGAATCTAAACGTCTAGCATCAAAATCTAAACGTCTAGCATCGAAATCTAAACAGCTGGCATCAAAATCTAAACAGCAAGCATTGAAATCTAAACATCTAGCATCGAAATCTAAACGGCTAGCATTGAAATCTAAACGTCTAGCATCGAAATCTAAACATCTAGCATTGAAATCTAAACGGCTAGCATCGAAATCTAAACAGCTAGCATTGAATCTAAACGGCTAGCATCGAAATCTAAACAGCTAGCATTGAAATCTAAACGGCTAACACCCTAAATATGTCGATAAAGTTTTTCCTTAACTTAATATTTTTTATTAAGCAATTTACCCTGTCTCTGCATCAATTCCATCCTTTAGCTCGAACAGCAGTCTATAAATCTATCGATGATAAGTACTTGTATCTTGCTGTAGCAAGCCATACAGTGCTACATACTGTTAACTGTATAGACAATTTGTAAAACTGTTGGCCAGTGGAGCCTGTAATAAGACTCTCTGATACAGCCAGAACCTGATTTATGACACTATAAAGAGGATGGACAATGATTAAAGGAAGTTGTGCATAGAATAGTGAGAGTGTTGGCCTCTGTAACTGGTTCTCCCTACCTTGGGAGAAGACTTATATAAGCTCTAGTCTGCAGTCTATCAATAAAATATTCTGAAATGAAATTCTCCCTACCTGTGGCTGTTAGAGTTTCTCAGGAAACAGAGAAATGGATCTGTCTGTGCTGTGTCTTAGGTCAAAAGAGAAATGGATCTGTCTGTGCTGTGTCCTAGGTCAAAAGAGAAATGGATCTGTCTGTGCTGTGTCCTAGGTCCAGATAGAAATGGATCTGTCTGTGCTGTGTCTTAGGTCAAAAGAGAAATGGATCTGTCTGTGCTGTGTCCTAGGTCCAGATAGAAATGGATCTGTCTGTGCTGTGTCTTAGGTCAAAAGAGAAATGGATCTGTCTGTGCTGTGTCCTAGGTCCAGATAGAAATGGATCTGTCTGTGCTGTGTCCTAGGTCCAGATAGAAATGGATCTGTCTGTGCTGTGTCTTAGGTCAAAAGAGAAATGGATCTGTCTGTGCTGTGTCTTAGGTCAAAAGAGAAATGGATCTGTCTGTGCTGTGTCCTAGGTCCAGATAGAAATGGATCTGTCTGTGCTGTGTCCTATGTCAAGATAGAAATGGATCTGTCTGTGCTGTGTCCTAGGTCCAGATCACAATAATTGCTCTTGATTACACATGATTGGCTTCCTGTATGCTTTTCAGTGTGGTAACAACCAGCTACTACATAGAGACCCTCATAATGACTTTGGTTGTTCATGGAGTGACAAACTCAGTAAACAAACAAGACAGCATCAGTCAATAATCTACATATAGATATCAGTGTTTTCATAATAATAAACATTATCTCAGATATGGATAAAGTTTGAAATTATTTGCTGGCTATCAGATTCTATGCTTCCTTTAATGACTGGGTATCAGATTATATGCTTCCTTTAATGACTGGGTATCAGATTCTATGCTTCCTTTAATGACTGGGTATCAGATTCTTCCCTTAATGACTGGGTATCAGATTCTTCCCTTAATGACTGGGTATCAGATTCTTCCCTTAATGACTGGGTATCAGATTCTTCCCTTAATGACTGGGTATCAGATTCTTCCCTTAATGACTGGCTATCAGATTCTATGCTTCCTTTAATGACTGGGTATCAGATTCTATGCTTCCTTTAATGACTGGGTATCAGATTCTATGCTTCCTTTAATGACTGGGTATCAGATTCTATGCTTCCTTTAATGACTGGGTATCAGATTCTATGCTTCCTTTAATGACTGGGTATCAGATTCTATGCTTCCTTTAATGACTGGGTATCAGATTCTTCCCTTAATGACTGGGTATCAGATTCTATGCTTCCTTTAATGACTGGGTATCAGATTCTATGCTTCCTTTAATGACTGGGTATCAGATTCTATGCTTCCTTTAATGACTGGGTATCAGATTCTATGCTTCCATTAATGACTGGGTATCAGATTCTTCCCTTAATGACTGGGTATCAGATTCTGTGGTTCCTTTAATGACTGGGTATCAGATTCTATGCTTCCTTTAATGACTGGGTATCAGATTCTATGCTTCCTTTAATGACTGGGTATCAGATTCTATGCTTCCTTTAATGACTGGGTATCAGATTCTATGCTTCCTTTAATGACTGGGTATCAGATTCTTCCCTTAATGACTGGGTATCAGATTCTTCCCTTAATGACTGGGTATCAGATTCTGTGGTTCCTTTAATGACTGGGTATCAGATTCTATGCTTCCTTTGATGACTGGGTATCAGATTCTATGCTTCCTCTAATGACTGGGTATCAGATTCTTCCCTTAATGACTGGGTATCAGATTCTTCCCTTAATGACTGGGTATCAGATTCTATGCTTCCTTTAATGACTGGGTATCAGATTCTTCCCTTAATGACTGGGTATCAGATTCTATGCTTCCTTTAATGACTGGGTATCAGATTCTTCCCTTAATGACTGGGTATCAGATTCTTCCCTTAATGACTGGGTATCAGATTCTTCCCATAATGACTGGGTATCGGATTCTGTGCTTCCCTTAATGACTGGGTATCAGATTCTTCCCTTAATGACTGGGTATCAGATTCTATGCTTCCTTTAATGACTGGGTATCAGATTCTTCCCTTAATGACTGGGTATCAGATTCTATGCTTCCTTTAATGACTGGGTATCAGATTCTTCCCTTAATGACTGGGTATCAGATTCTTCCCTTAATGACTGGGTATCAGATTCTTCCCTTAATGACTGGGTATCAGATTCTGTGCTTCCTTTAATGACTGGGTATCAGATTCTTCCCTTAATGACTGGCTATCAGATTCTATGCTTCCTTTAATGACTGGCTATCAGATTCTATGCTTCCTTTAATGACTGGGTATGAGATTCTATGCTTCCTTTAATGACTGGGTATCGGATTCTGTGCTTCCCTTAATGACTGGGTATCAGATTCTTCCCTTAATGACTGGGTATCAGATTCTTCCCTTAATGACTGGGTATCAAATTCTGTGCTTCCTTTAATGACCATTAATACAGAAAATTTAATCTGCGAATATTTACAACTATATATAATGTCAGAGATATCTTGACAAATTATGATTGTCATATCCCATTTTAATGCTAATAAACATATTCTTTTTTTCTCCTTTTCCAGATTTTACGTTGTATATAAGGATCCAAATGACTTTTACGAGGTCACCTACAACTACACATTTAATCCTTGTACCTACTTCAATGAACCGGAGGATCCTCATCAAGTCCATGGATTCGGTGATCAGTGTATTCATGTTTCTGTAAGTTTGTATGTATGATTATATTAATGATATACGTTTCTGAAAGCGAAAAATTGATAAAGATTATACTTAAAATTAGACTATTCACAAAATTATAGCATTTTTGAGAAAAATTGATAAAGATTATCAGCTTCAAATTAATACCAGTCATCAATTGTTGTTGTGTACACCACCAATCCCTGTTTTGATTGGAGATAGCCGAATGCATCATGTGCCCTTATGGAGCCTCATTTTAACCTGCCGTTTTGTTGTGATTTCTGAATTTGCATGTGCAATACATCGTTTTTTATTTATTTACAAACATATGCACGACCCTGATTGCATCATAACAGGTATGCATTGTTATTAGTTAAACAGAATGACATTTTTGCGTAATTATAATATAAGGAAAATAAGCCTTATGAAGTAACAGATTCTCAACCAGAAAAGAAATTTTTGTGGACAGCATATACACTTGTGTATATACCTATTACCCTACATTCAGTCTCCAATTTCTTGATGCACTATATTCAGACAGTTATGTTTACATGGGCTGGGAGTATTCCCACCATTTTAACCTTGCCAAACTGACCACAGGAGAGATACTTTGATGCCAACATTGGTTTTAATAGTAATTAGAATGAGTTCTAAACGTACAGAACAGCCGGAATTTTACAACTAGTGCAGAAAATCCCGGCAGTTTTACATGTCATTAGCACCCTGTTCTGTCTTTGGTGTTAAAACCTTGTACATTGATCTTTGCGTTATGTATTGAAATAGATATACAGGTAATATACATGTATACTGCAAAATCATTAATTTTTGTTCACGATTTATTGGGCATGTTCCACATAGTGCAAATCCAGGTTATAGTATGGTGAATGTCGGCAGGCAGGCGGGGAAAAGGGGTACCAGTTTTGTAGAATCAACTCCTCCCAGAGTTTTAGACGTAGAAGCTTGAAACTTTGTAAGATGTTTATATATCTGTTGAAGATGTGTGCCTCCTATTATGGATTCATTTCAGACATTTTTCGGGATTTTCCGTGCTTTGGAACTTAGTCATTTTCTGAAAGTTTTCTTGTTATCAGTTTCTCAGAAGATCACCTTGGGGCCCTAGATGTCCATTGTGTATTTTTTTAACGTCTCCGAATCAATAATGGATGCAACTTCTTTCTTCAAATGCCCTTCTTCTGCACCAATTCATAAAATACAACCAAACTTTCTCTCTTATAACAAATATTCTACATACTCAACAGATGAAACACCCTTAACTGTCTTATAAATACCATATAACATTGCACTCATCCCGCAACCCAACCAATTGTGGCTTTGCCCGATTTTGTAATTTATTTTCATTGATTTCATATGTACTCTAAATCCATTAACTCATATGTCAATAAATTACTTTGAAGCAAAATATTTCTTAAACTTTGGAATTTTAAAAGGGGAAAGGGCCTAAAAGAGTTTAAATAGCGATGTATAGTCATTGATTAGCTCTAATTCTTTGATGATTTCTTGAATTGAAATAAAAGAAAACAGATGCTTGGTGATTTGAATATTATAATGGTGAAAAGGTTGATGCTGTTGATGTTTTGGGATGAAGTTTAACTCACAGGTGTTTCAATGTCCTAACTAATATGTATCTATCTTCTATATTTCAGATGTGCAAGTTCAATAAGGACACTCGACGATATTATTACTATCCGTATGGATTACAAAAATCGGCAAAATTTTCAGCAAACGTTCAAGAGAATAAATCTGATTCTGCACAGTTCTTCCTTTCATTTACAGGAAGTGGGTAGGTATTGTACATCATGCTTTATTTTGTAAATCAATTTAAATCAGTTTTATCAGAAATCCTGATTTAGTTCTGTAGTTGATATACTTGATAAATTATGTATTGTGATGTCTACAGAAACATATTTTTTATTTTTTTTTTCTATTTTTAAAGAAAACTAGAGTGTAACCAGTAGATCAAAATCTAAATGTATCAATAAAAGTGACAAGATTATCATTTCAGATTTATGTCAGTGAAAGTGACAAGATTGTTTATCATTTCAGGTTTATGTCAGTGAAAGTGACAAGATTGTTTATCATTTCAGGTTTATGTCAGTGAAAGTGACAAGATTGTTTATCATTTCAGGTCGATATCAATGAAAGTGACAAGATTGTTTATCATTTCAGGTCGATATCGGTGAAAGTGACGAGATTGTTTATCATTTCAGGTTTATGTCAGTGAAAGTGACGAGATTGTTTATTATTTCAGGTCGATATCAATGAAAGTCACAGATTTTTTATTATTTCAGGTCGATATCGGTGAAAGTGACGAGATTGTTTATTATTTCAGGTCGATATCAATGAAAGTGACGAGATTGTTTATCATTTCAGGTTGATATCAATGAAAGTGACGAGATTGTTAATCATTTCAGGTCGATATCGGTGAAAGTGACGAGATTGTTAATCATTTCAGGTCGATATCGGTGAAAGTGACGAGATTGTTAATCATTTCAGGTCGATATCAGTGAAAGTGACGAGATTGTTTATCATTTCAGATCAGTGTCGATGAAAGTGACGAGCATTCACCTGATGTGTAACAGATCCCTGGTGGATCCGGAAGATGCCGTCTTTTCTATCCAAAAAGATGACGAACGATTTGGGATTGTAAGTCAGTGTGTTCACACTTTGCTTGCAGGTCCTACCTGTATAGGATTGTGCTGATAACCCTGTCCTTTTAAACTATATTAAGACCATTCCTTACTGATGCATGGTGATCTTCAAACATGTCTAGCCTCAGTATATATTTATACAAAAAGAAATCTGACATCAATTGAAGATGTTTATGCTGATATTCCTGAAAAATTCACCAACATTTCTGTACTTACCTCATATATACATACAACTTAGCTGATGCTGCTTTAGAATGAATATTGTTCAGATAATTAAATTTTATACTGCTAATGTTTGAAGGGTCCTCTTGTCATACTTACTTGATTGCTTATAAGGATAAATTTCACAACACTGCATGGTCCAAACTTCTCTGGTGAAATAGAACCTAGGTAAACACCTGTGTTTATACATATTTGTATAAGTAAATAACAAGTATTCTATAATGTAATATTATAATTACGATAGATTGTAATCGATATCAGAGAATATCAAGCTCTTTTCAAAATTACCAACAATGCAGTAGTTTTCCTTATCACATGCATGTAACAGCAAACTGCATTGTACTTTTTGCAGACAATTATACACACCAGTACATGTGGCACCATGTATGTGTCACCACGTTTGCGTACTGTCAGCTGCCCTCATTGAATGACACACGTTTGACTCTTGTCACAAACTACAAGTGAAACTTTAGCCATGTTGTTTAAAACACATAAAGCAAAGGAGATTTTTATTCTGGCACACTTAATTACTCTATAGATAAGTGATTTCAGTCTTTAAAACAACTTCTTCTCAATAACCAGTGGACCAAACCTTTTGATATTTGGCTGGTATGTTCCTAAGATGAAGCCTGACAAACTACTTGAAAAGAAATGACCTTGATCTATGTTCAAGGTCTCAGAGGTCAGATTTGTTAAAACCTTCAGACATCTTCTTCTCATGAACTAAAAGGCCTAGAGACATGTTATTCGGTTAGTGAGTGCTGCAGGCCAATCAGGTGGCTTGTTCCTGTTTAGCTTATCCTATACATTTGTATTGGCCTAGGTATTGTACCAATTTTGTGAAAATTCTTTTTGCATCTTATTTGTAGACTGCAGAACTTCGTCATTTGTGTTGCTGTCCCGACGCCTGTGTCAATGGCTTACCCTCAGGTAAACAAGTGAATTTTTTTCAGAAAACATTGGACTAGAATATTAATGAAATGTTCGTTTGCAAACATTTCTTTTCAAATTAAAATGCATTCTAATTATCAGATAAAATTTAGGATGGATATTTGGGAATCTTCTCATTAAGTACGGTTTACTTCAGAGTTCAAAGGTCAATGTCATCGTAAATAGCTGTATGAATTCATATGAAAAATCATTAATAGATTTTTATTGACTTGGATTGGTAAAATTCAGCTTTAATCATTGTAAGAATAATTTGCATTGTTTGATATTTGTGAAATAATTGTAATTTGCTTGTAACTGTAGGGTATCACACAAAATTATAATCTAATTTCACCTTGTAGTAACATTGTGTAGAATTACTCGTTTAATAAGTCTGTGATCATTGTTTGTATTTTAGAGTTGCCACCGGAGCCCCCGACAATATTGTGAAGAATTACTCATTTAATAAGTCTGTGATCATTGGTTGTATTTTAGAGTTGCCACCGGAGTCCCCGACACCAGACAGTTCTAAGCTGTTGGTCATTGTAGCGGTCAATGCTGGGGTACTACTTCTGGCCTGTGGCGTTGGTGTCATGTGCTACCTGAAGCGTACCCACCTCCAGTTCTACTCCAAACTACCAGGTAACACCGCCATCACCAACGAGTGGAACACTTCATGCTTGATCATTTCAAATAATTTCTTAGAAAATATTTTCATTTGTGTTGTATTATGTTAACGTGGTCAATATAAAGGAAAAATCAGTCAAGAAACTGATTAATTGATAAAAAAAAATTTCAGATGAATAAGTTTAGGAGTATGACTTAGAATACTGCATTCCTATATTACAATATCTACAAAACATGTAAGGTTCTATTAGATTGTTGATAATAGATCTAAATTATCTGCAGAACTTGTAAGACAACTAGAAATGGTGTTCTGATAGTTTTAAGTGTTTGTTATTTCAGCATTTGATGACAAGACAATACAAAATATTGTATATAAATTCAAAGATTTACAAACTTTCCTGCGATTCTTGTAGAAAAAAGATTAAATTTCTAATGTTTGAAATAAGATGAAATCAAAACTTAATTATGTTCCCCACACAAAGTGGAGGGGACATGCTGTTTTTGATTCATTTCTTATTATCTTTACATGCTCACTGTTAATCAGTATTTACATATCAAAATTTGTTTATTTTTAACGGTTCAAAGTTGATGTTGCTCATGAAAAACACCAAGATTAAAGATTAATTGGTTGTAATCACTTTAGATATAAGTCCAACATATTGATTAATCTTTAAATTGTGTCATTAATATTTGATGGGACACAATCTGATGTTGCTCACAGAGAAAGCACTTGTAAAGACAAACTGGTTGTAATCACTTCAAGTATGTGTTTAACAAATTGATTTATCTATTAAAAGTTGTGTCATTAATATTTTAATGGTTCATGATTATTGAAAAGGGAGACAATCCATGTGTTACAAGTTAGTTTTTCCTTGGAAAAGCCAGGTGTCAAATATTACAGGTAAACTGTACCCAATAAATGATAGGTATCATAATACATCAGTGATAACAAGTATATTGTACCCAGTAAATGATGGGTATCATAATACATCAGTGATTACAAGTATATTGTACCCAGTAGATGACCTTTGTCATCCATTATCTATAACAGGTGTACAACAGCCAGCTATTATTCAGTACCAGATGGGTAGTATCGAACACAAAATGGGAGGCAAGATGGGTGAAAGAGCTAGGCCTTCAGCCTACCGTGATTATGAATTAGACAGTTCTAAGTTTGAGAAGAAGTTTCTCATTCCTGTCCTGGAGAACTGTAATATTTCAAGTCAGGAGCTGGAATTGGCACAGAGGTATGTAATATTTTGGGTCTGATGGATCCATATTTTGAAGTCCGTCATGATTTTGTCCAGAAAATAATACAAAAAAACTACAAGAGGTATCACCATAAAACTTCATATGAAGATAGAGAAGTAGAGTGCACCAGAACCATCACTCTCTTTTACATAATTTAGGAGTTATTGCCCTTTATTATTTTTCATACTTAAATTTTGTTCAGAGCATTACCTTCAAACTATAAGAAGTATCAACATGAAACATCATAGGTAGATATGACCATGTCATATGGTTGAATAAGCATTCTCTTTTAGACTGTATTTTTGTAACCTTGGTGATTGGGAATTCCACTCGCTAAGTGTATTTTGAAAAAATCATTGATGGATGAGTGAAAATTTTTGCTGATTGTGTATATTTCTGCTAGGTAACTAATTGCCCATGTTCCACCCAGTGAGAGTGAATTTGAATCAAATGAACAGTGTCATGTTTACTGAGCCATGTCATACACTTTGAACAAAATATCATTTGGAGCAAATTTAAAATACTTACGATCTTTAATAAATTTCTTTTCAAGATTTAGTCTGATAAATAAGTAAACTTTAAAGCTCTTTGCATCAAAACTCTTTAACAAGATGTGTTTTCAAGACCAGAACAGCAATGGTAGAGGGATATGTATATAAATTTGTGACATTTTGTCCGGCAGACTCGGAGGGGGTGTTTACGGCGACACACATGTCGGACATTTGAACGGCATGAAAGTTGCTGTCAGTAGAATCACCATCAACATCCATGCTAATCAGGTAGACTCAGAGGTGCTTAAATTTTTACAAGAAGAGGTCTGGTTTTTAAGGTAAGTGCTGGTTAATTGTGCATCTTTTGTATAATCTTTGTCTCATCAATTCTGTTATGAAGTAAAGAAATTGTGGGGGTCGGAGAGGGGTCTTTTTTTGGGAGGAAACTGGAGTACCAGGGAAAATCCTCATGGTTGGGCAGGTGACCCCAAACTTTTTCATGTCAGCTTGGGAAATCAGACCCAGGATGTCTGATGAAAGGCGAGTGTCTTACCTTGTGGTATCTGACTACACTTCTACTTGATTTTGAGGTTATACTTGGGATCAAAGACACACTTGGCCTTCAACGTGAATTATTTTGAAGGACATTTAGATTGTGTTTTCGCAAAGATATTTGCAACCATAAAAACAGAGATGTTTTTAAGCTTTGCATTCTTTTATATTTCTATACAAACATTAGTTTTTCTAATTATTTACCACTGGTATGAATCATCATTCATTTATTGAATGGAAACATGAAAGATAAGTTGTTCTTTTACAAACCCAATTGAAGATTAAAAATCAGTAATTTGTAACAAATGAAAAATTTACAATAACGGATATTATCATGTTTGATTTTCATTTCTACCATGTTTCAGTCGTCAGAGACATCGTAACATAGTGTCGATGATGGGACTTTGTGTAGAAAACAAACTGCCGTACATCATTTCGGAATATGTTAACGGAGAGAGTGTGAAGTATTTTATACAGCATCGGGGTACCTCTCTCACCTGGCCTCTCAGGATCAAAATAGTAAGTATGGATAGCAAGCTTAGATATATTAAATAATGTGATCTTATTGATAATCAATTTCATAACAATATTGAAACAAATTCTGTGAACCTATTTTTTCTTAAAGAGATATTTCATAAATTGTCATTAGACTAGGATTGTGCGGAGATCCTGTTTATGAAGATACTGTTAAAATATCATGATTCTTACAATGTATTGGATTTCTATACAGTGTCTACAGACCTCTGATGGTATGGCATATCTCCACTCTACAAAACCTACAATTTTACACCGAGATCTGCGATGTGCCAACATTTTCATCACTGATAAGAATATTGTCAAGGTACAATGAAATAGTGATTAAAAAATACTAAATTTGACCATGGTTTTCCAAATACAAATATGTATAGATTTCCCATCCCAAACACTTATAAGTTACAATCATCAGTTTAGAACAGGACCCCTCCAGTATTGATACCAAGCGAGAGATTTTTAAAAAATATTTTCGATTATTACTGAAGTGATGTGTTTTATTCTTAAACTGCTATAATTACAGTACATGAGCTTGTAACTTAAAATTTGATATTAATGCACAAATATAATTGAATTTGAGTTCTATAACCAACAATCTCCTGTTTGAGAGAGACTTTTCAGTAAGAGTTCTAGACCTTCAATTTTTTCTGTTTTAACAACTTGATCAGAATGAAAGTTTTGTTATTCCTATAATTGTGTATAATATATGTCTGTCAAAATGTTTAGTGTCTGGTATTGGAGTCAATTGAAACTCAGACTGTAAACTATTGTTAAGGCAAATAACACATTTGAAAATTTCTCGTTGAAATACAGGTGGGAGATTTTGGTTTGATCAAACTTATACAACCCTTCCGAGAGGCGTGCCAGGCAGAGGAATGTTGTTGTAAGTATCTTTGTGATGATAACTGTGTGAGATTCTCTACAGTTGAACAGGACTGGAATTTCAGATACAATAAAGTGTAAAGACATCAAAACTGAAAGAAATCTGACCTAGTTTTTCTATGTGGTTGTGACTGATAAATTTGCGATGCTAGACAATATATCATATCTGTTCCACAATTAGCCTAGGGGCTAACACATGATCTCTGAATCAAAGTCGCAGATTAGCTTATTATGCAAGGACAATGAAATAGTCTTTGGTGCTGGTTGTGTTGATCAGCAATAGAAATGGCTGGGCTTATTACCAGACATGGGCTTATTGCATGGTAGAAATAAGGCATATAAGATATTAATGAAAACATTGAAAATGGTTTATGCAAATATCATTAGATCTATAGACCTTGTTGATTTTTCGAGACAGTCTAGTGTTACTTCCTGGTATTGTAGGTCAGAGTCATCACAGTGCTTGTCCGATGTCGGTTCGATGGACTGCTCCGGAGGTGCTGCAGAATCCTACGTCCAAGGAAGCTGAGGGAGTAATTACAACCAGTTCAGATGTGTTCTCCTTCGGAATGGTTTTGTTGGAACTTATCACAATGGAGGATCCGTTTGATGAAGTGGAATCAGAACAACAGGTACACGTATGCTCATGTCAACAAGTCATTTTAGTTGTGAAGTTCTGTTCTCAACCTTAAATTTTATTTTCACTAATGTCAATTTCTTTCACCATTGAAAATAAATTTCGAAAATTAACATAACTCATTAAACATTCAGACAAAAAAATAAATGAAATTTGTATATACATTTGTGGTTCATTGAAAATGGTTTTTTTTTTAATTTAAAAAAATGATCAATACAAATACTATTCTTTTCAAAAATTTGTCTTGATTATCTCCCTTTATCATTGTAGGTTTCAGATCTGATTCAGGAAGGGGCGGAGCCAGAGTTGCCGGTAGACATGGAGATCCTTCCCCAGTACAAAACCCTCATGCAGCAATGCTGGAATAGTAGCCCAGAGCATAGACCCACATTTAAACAGGTAGAGTCCTTGTTGTATCAACCAATTTAGTTTATTGTAACCAAACAAATATAATCTTGTATGCATGTAACCAAGGATATATAATCCTGTATGTGTGTAACCAAGGAAGTATAATCCTGTATGTGTGTAACCAAGGATATATAATCCTGTAAGTGTGTAACCAAGGAAATATAATCCTGTATGTGTGTTACCAAGGAAATATAATCCTGTATGTGTGTAACCAACGAAATATAATCCTGTATGTGTGTAACCAAGGAAATATAATCCTGTATATGTGTAACCAAGGAAATATAATCCTGTATGTGTGTAACCAACGAAATATAATCCTGTATATGTGTTACCAAGGAAATATAATCCTGTATGTGTGTAACCAACGAAATATAATCCTGTATATGTGTAACCAAGGAAATGTTACCCTGTTTATGTTAAGTAGTATAATTTTTATACGAGATCAAGATGGCAACCTTAAAATTCCTGATTGTTTTCACCAACCTGCATCTATCCATTTGTTGTAAGTTTATCTGTTTAAACTGACTTCATTCTTTAAAACAACATTTTGGGCAGAATACATGTATTGGGTTTGTAGTTTCGTTTATGAAGAGCTGTCCAATTTGTACAGATGTAGGACTTTAACCTACTTTCTTTGTTTGAGAAATAAAATATGTCAAAATATGCAAACTAATGATTTTAAACATTCAAAATATCCAGGATTGTATTTATAGCAAAAACTACACTGAAATAAACTGCAATCAAATTTATTCAAAGGAATGATTTCACCCAACTTTCAATATCATAATGTATGGTCTAGAGAAATGACACAGGTTTACAAGGAAAGTTGGGTAAACAAAATCTTTTAACATTTATCAGCAGCAAAAGAATACAATACATTTTTGATGTTCTTTATAGTGATGTGAATTACAGGCCTATTTTGCCTCTTGTTTTATGGAATCATCAAGGTCTCACAGTAAAGTGAAGTCAAATTTATAAAAATATTTCCCATCTTGATTTTTAGGTTGCCACAAGACTGAAAGAACTGATTCCACAAGCAAGAAACTTCCAGAAAGCTATCAATACCAAACACAAAGTATTGAAGACAGTGCCTTCAGCTAATGTTGTCTGAAGATAGAAGATGGAAGGGTATCGAATATTAAAATTATGTTGAATACAGAAAAAATTATATTTGCTCCATATTGTATTAGTTTTATCTTTATAAAAAATATTTATCTTAATTTGAAGTGATTTTTTCTTCTCAGAATACTAATTACGGAATATTAAGGTATGGCATAATTGTCAATGGTACAGTATTGAAGTGTGGCATCGATAAATCTCTGTACATGGCTTGTGCTCGTAGAATGTGGATGGCATTCGCAGACTTTTGGGGATTACTTAAATGTTTCAATGTAGGACCCATTGTTTTTGGCAGTAAAGTTGAAAAAGACTCAAAGAAAATTATAGATTGATGATAATTGCTGTAGTGATTTGTGTATTTGTGTAACATTCGAGGTTGACATATTTATGCTAAGTAGCTATGAGACTGCACAGGGCTTTGATGCCATTGTTGAAGTTTGAGAATGGAATTTATCTGCATGTTTAATTTTTTTCAATTGAAGGTTCTTGGCCCACATTTCTTCAATTATTGATTGGCCTTAACACAATCACAAAATACCAAAAAAAAAAAACAAAAAAAAAATTTGATCAATGTGGAATCTATAAAATGAAGTGTGGAAAAAAAGATGAAAATAATGAAAAATTTGTTACTTAAATAAAGTCAGACAGTTATCATTATTATCTCATCAAAATGAAACAGCAGCTGAAGCAAGGTGCAGCTTGTTTTATCTTACACTAACATGCAACAGCTGTGAACCTTTTCATATTTTATACACAGAGTTCGAGAAAAGAAAAATACATATCAATTTATTGCAGTTTGTGTTTCACAAAAAAAATACAAATTTATCGCAATTTATGTTTTACCAAATATCGATCATTTTGTTTTCATTTAGAATTGATACTGCTTGCTTTCCAATGTCCTTTGAAAATGATCCTCACTGACCTGATCTAGTCGGGATTTTTTCACCTTATAGTTTTTAGTGAAATGTAACATGAACATGTACATAATTATGTATGTGTGTGTATAAGTATGTATGTATCTATGTATGATATGTACAGTGTATATGTATGTAATGACTTAATGTTTACAACACCAAGTCTGGTATTGCCATTATATGGGTACTGCCAAATATTTTTGAAATCCAAGGGTTCCTCTTATATATTTCTTCTCTGTATTTTGGAAATTTCATGGTAAAATTTCACTAATCTGATATTTTTGAAGCTGTTATAGTGTGCTAGCTTACCTATGTCCTCTTTGATATCATAAAAAAGGATGCACAGGACCGTGCTACAGTAGGCTTTGTAAATTCAGAAAGGATGCACAGGACCGTGCTACAGTAGGCTTTGTAAATTCAGAAAGGATGCACAGGACCGTGCTACAGTAGGCTTTGTAAATTCAGAAAGGATGCACAGGACCGTGCTACAGTAGGCTTTGTAAATTCAGAAAGGATGCACAGGACCGTGCTACAGTAGGCTTTTGTAAATTCAGAAGAAAAAATCAATCAAACTTATTTAGAGCTTAGTTCTTGTGTTTATTTAGAAGAAATCATTCATGTTTATGTAGAATTTAGCGCTATGTAAATTACAAAGAAAAATAAAAATTGATAAGGCATTTAGCTCTTTTGTGAATTTAGAAAAGCAATTCAAATTTCTTTTTTAAATTACGAAAAATATAAATCAACTTAAGTCATTGGATGAAATTTGGTCCTGACTTTTCTAAATGCGCAGGGAAGAAATTAATTAATGAGAGAAATGTCCTTGAGATTTCTATGGTGCTAATTGTAATGTTGTATTGTTGTAGTGTTACTAATAAATTTATGTTTTCACTGACAACAACAAAATTGGCATTCAGGAAAGATTTTTGGGTAATATATTTGAAATCTAGTTTAACACAGTAAAAGAACTTTTTAATTGACAAAAAGGTTGATGAGATCCCAGAGATATATAATCTTGGGTTGTGTTCTTCAGCATGATACAGGTGTTGTCCAACTTCGCTAGCTTAGAGTGGAGTATAAGGTTAAGTTGATGTTGTGCTGTATTAACTATCCTTTATATAGAAGTGGATATACCATTTACATAAGTTCTAGTAATAAGTGTTTAGAAATTCATACACATAAACAGATGTACACCTACACAAACTCAAGTATTCAATTCATATGCACTGTTGGTGCTAATACAGAGTCACAAACCGGATGCTGGGTAGGTTGTGTCTGTCTGTCAATGATGTATAAAGGTTTCCCTGAATTGTAAGTGCTTTGTATTAATACAGAGTCACAAACCGGATGCTGGGTTGGGTGTGTTTGTCTTTCAATGATGTATAAAGGCTTCCCTGAATTGTAAGTACCTTGTATCAATACAGAGTCACAAACCGGATGCTGGGTAGGTTGTGTTTGTCTTTCAATGATGTATAAAGGCTTCCCTGAATTGTAAGTGCTTTGTATTAATACAGAGTCACAAACCGGATGCTGGGTTGGGTGTGTTTGTCTTTCAATGATGTACAAAGGCTTCCCTGAATTGTAAGTGCTTTGTATTAATACAGAGTCACAAACCGGATGCTGGGTAGGTTGTGTTTGTCTTTCAATGATGTACAAAGGCTTCCCTGAATTGTAAGTGCTTTGTATTAATACAGAGTCACAAACCGGATGCTGGGTTGGGTGTGTTTGTCTTTCAATGATGTACAAAGGCTTCCCTGAATTGTAAGTGCTTTGTATTAATACAGAGTCACAAACCGGATGCTGGGTAGGTTGTGTTTGTCTTTCAATGATGTATAAAGGCTTCCCTGAATTGTAAGTGCCTTGTATTAATACAGAGGCACAAACCGGATGCTGGGTTGGGTGTGTTTGTCTTTCAATGAGGAATAAAGGCTTCCCTGAATTGTAAGTGCCTTGTATTAATACAGAGTCACAAACCGGATGCTGGGTAGGTTGTGTTTGTCTTTCAATGATGTATAAAGGCTTCCCTGAATTGTAAGTGCCTTGTATCAATACAGTCACACACCGGATGCTGGGTAGGTTGTGTTTGTCTTCCAATGATGTATAAAGGCTTCCCTGAATTGTAAGTGCCTTGTATCAATATTGCTGGAAGTTGTTTTGTCCTAGTTATTTGATAATGAAATATATCATGGTTGATGACAAATGTGCTGTTTTGATATATTTTGACAGCAGTTGTAAAATACCGGTATGTACCGTATTCGATCCAATAAGCGCCCAGGGCGCTTAAAAATTGCAATTAAGTGGGGCGCTTATTAGAGACCATCTTAGATGTAAAAGAAACACATTCAGTACTAAAATACTAAAAAATCTACTGTATGGCTCACGTATTTATAAAATCACTATTTTTTTTTTTTTTTACATGCAATAAAACCATCTTAGACCATCTTAGATATAATTTTTTTTTCTATGTTTTTCTGGAGTACATCTCCTTATAAACCGATTTAAAACAATTCTTGATCGTGACTAAAACGTAAGTAAATCTAGACTTTTAGGTATCTGAATGGTGGAGGGGGCGCTTATAGGGACATTGGCACTTATTAGGTCGAATATGGTAATTAGAAAATGTTGCCAAATAGCAGTGTATATATACATGTATATTTTTTAAGGTATGTAAGTAAAACCAGTACAGATATATAGATATATATATACTTATATTAAATGAATTTGTTATTTTATTGTTAAATTGTTTTCTATATCAAAACAGAGATTCTTTGTTTGGTGCAAACTGCTGCTGATGTTTTTACCTTTATCATCAGAAGAGGACTTTTCACTTCATCTTTATTTTGTTGTCAAGTGCTGGTCACAAGTGTATCCTCTGCGACCTGTCGTCTGTCAGAAGAAAATAATGTAAATATGGATTTTCTCTGAAATTTCATTTTTTTTTGAAGTTTTCTTGTTTGTTCTCTGTTTTGTGAAGGAATGACTTTGCTTGATTCTTCAGTTTGGATATTATAAATGTGCTCAATATTGATTAAAAGGAAGCTCTGATAATCCTATATTATACACATTAGATTTCACATCAGATCTCAAGATAGTTATGTGAAAGTCACGTTATCATGCAGTTTTTAACAAAAAGTTACTTAAGGAGTCAGTCTCTTTTATCAAAGTTGTATCTTTTTAAATTATTTACCAGTAATTAAACCACTAATTTTTTTCAACTTAATCAGAAACATAACTAAGGACTTCCTGACCCCAAGATATATTTATAAATTTTGCAAAGTTATCGTCACTGTTTCTGTAAAAATGACAGATTTATGAATTAATTCATAAACTGTAGTAATTGTGTATTATAGATTGTTTATTTCATTTTAATCTGGAATAACAGAAAATATGTCGCAGTGAAATGAAACCATGTTGATATTGTACTGAACGCCTTGGAGGTCAAAGAAAAACTTAGATTTAAAATGACAGTAACACTTTATTTCTAGACTTGATAAAATGTCACTATCTGATAGTACTTACTAAAACAGACTTGAAGTGGCTCTCAGTCAAAAAAGTAACATAAAAAAGTCTAGATTAAAAAAATATAAAAAATACGACTTACAATGACCTTGTATTAGTGTGAAGTTAAATATGGTTTACTTAACACAGTGTAAACCTCTTTATGTCATGTGTCATTTGTCTGAAGAAAATGTGATAATAACCAGAATGTGACAATAATTGTTGACACATTTTTTCAGACTTCTGAATACAGAGGTGAACATTTAGGACACCAACACTTATGTACTTTATCAGAAGTTGAATGGAAACAAAATAAAAAAAAAAAACCAAAAAAAAAAACAAAGAAAATGTAATATTTAAGCAAATGATTTTTTGTTTTCTTCGTCAATTTTTTTATTTCTTTAAAAGATGCCAATAGTGAAAATTTATGAAATTTGATAGAAATTTAACCATGTCACAACAAACTGACTGGTGTTGCCAAGCATGCTTACTGCTTATTCACGTCTAAATTCTCCAATGTTTAGATCACCATACAACTTAACACAGGTAGGCAAAATCATGCCGACACAATTCATACAGGTATTTTCGAATAACAGTTACATTTACTAGACAAGGTAGCATAATTGTTATTGCAAATAATCTTTCAAAATAGATTGTTGAGTTTCTGATCCTAAAACATAACAATCAACAAAATATAAATGTATGTCAGTTAATTGCTTAATGACGTTCATGTGGAACTTCATGTGTAAACGATCATTGTTGATTTTCATCTACAAATATGTTTATGTATCGTGTGTTTTCTAGTCATGGTGACCATTCCTAACATAATGACCACATAATTACTGTGTTATTATTAATCAATATCATATAAATCCTTACTTATCTTGTCTTTTATGAGGATTAAGATGTTATATACATGTAATTGAAATGTGGTAGATTTTAGAATAACTTTGTATTTCTTTCTAAACATATATTGAAAATTCCCAATCATGCATAGAAACATGTTCCATAGCTTTATGCACTTTTCTTCAGAAATTGTAGTAGTGTTTTTTTCAGCTTGCCAGAATATCGTTTTTTTATTGTTAATAATGTAAATAAATTAATAATCCTATGTAATGGCAACTATATGGTCTGTTTTATGTACCAGATCAAACAAAGTTGTTTGATATAAACAATTTGACTTTCTGTATTTTTTTTATTATGTTAATGAATATATCTTTAGATCAATATCAAATAGTATGTAATTTTTATATACATAGTTATGTAAAAGTACATAATATTTATATACATCGTTATGTAAAAGTATATAAATTTTATATACATCGTTATGTAAAAGTACATAATATTTATATACATCGTTATGTAAAAGTACATGATATTTATATACATCGTTATGTAAAAGTATATAAATTTTATATACGTCATTATGTAAAAGTATATAAATTTTATATACATCATTATGTAAAAATATATAATTTTTATATATATTGTATTATTACTATTTTATGATATGAATAATGTTTCCATGGATATAACAGGTCTTTAAGAGTGGTTTGTTAACACTTTTGTCTGATATATAAGCAGATGATTTGTATTTCCAGTTTATTCCCAGAATCACATTACCAAGTTTGTACCATGCAGCAACAGCTGGTAACTTTTATCAGTACTTAACACCTTATTCCATATTTTTATGCATATTTTAACAATTAACATAAATGGCTTCTTGATAATTGTCAATATATGTTTCAAAATGTGTTTGTTGTATGTGTTAGCATTTTAATCTTCCAATTTTTTTTTTTTTTTTAGAAAAAAGGCATCAATGTTTCTTTCTATGGAAATGTAGATTTACCAGTACATGCAATAAAGGTCATTAGAGAAGGTGTCACATTTGTTAGATCCTGTCTTATAAATTTCTTCAGCATTAATCATAATTTCAGTTCACCAGTAAACTGTACTATAAATAAGTTCATGTTGTCCATTCTCAATCATATTTGATTGTGTAGATGTTTTGTGTAAATTTGTTTGGTGATGATCAGTATACTTGTTTGACAATCTCATTGAAATGACTTTCTTCTACATTTATAACCAATGTGCAATTATTTTTCTGTGTACATGATAATCGATGAAGTGTTGTTGAAAATTTATGAAAATGTACTGTATAATATTAAATATTTGTGGTAGTGTTATTTTTGTCAATTCTGTGGATTCCCTTTATCCAAAAGTTAATATGTCCACAAAATAACAAATAGTTGAAAAATTGATTGAATTTTTCAGTAAAGGTGGAGTTTTTGAGTAATATTCCATTTTTTTGTAATGCAGAGTTATCTGCTCTTGTGAGCATGTCATTAATTTCTGCAAAAAATATATATTATTTTCTATTCATGACATTACTCTCACAAACAAGTGATGTTGTAAAGAATTCCTACTAACAAGAGCAGATAACTCTATTATGAAAAGACTGACTCCAGGGAATGCTTAGTAAGCAGTCTTTTGTTTGTTTTTTTGCCGGAAAACCACAAAATTTGAGCCTCACAAAATTATTTGATATTACAGTAATTTTGTTTGTAAAAGTTCAGACTTTGTATAAATGTTACGGTTATTTTCATTCATTTAATTTGTTTTTGTTAAGTTTTTTCAGCCATTATACATGTAGTATATGTGTAATAATTATGAAATGGCTTTATTTTAACAGGTCCAAATTTATCTTCCTATGTTTAAATTAACAAATTGCTAAATATGTCATACAGTATCAGTATATTTTAAAGATTAATTTAGTTCTTTAATTAAATAAGGAGACTGTATGAAGTCCATGTGCTTGTAAATATTTGCAGATTTAGAAAAAGACAATTTTGTAGACCCATGCAAAACTTGAATGGCTATTTCCAAGAAACACCTATCCCCACCCCAGGTTTCAGGGTTTGTTCAGGGTACCACCCTTAAATTTTCAATAAGTTGCTTAGAAGTTTTAGGCAGAAAAAACATGGATAGAATCGATTTATTTTGGATACCTGAGGTCATGTAGATATTATATTGGAATAGCTTTACGATCTTTTCCTGTAAACCTAGGTTATTTTGCTCAACATTTAAATGTGTCTTCAAGCATACAATTACCTCAATAAATGGTTAATCTCCGACACACTTCCACTTGATTACTTGCTCCTGGCATATTGCCAGTCCTCGTCAAATGTTTTCTTGTTACATGTTGAAGCATTAACGTAATTTTACAAGATGGAATTACAGCTACAGAAATGAAGTCGCAATAAATACCCAAAACATGGCTTATGGATTCCGAGTTTTCTTTCAAGGTAAAACTAATCTTGCATGTGTGTTCACCTACATATATCATAACTGGTCATGATGTCTGATGAAGGTGACAGTGTAGTCATCAGAATGTTACATTTATCTGTGGGTGTGAAAGTTTGTGTACTTGTATATTTAGTAATGATGATGATGATGACTGAGCGAGTGAAAATGATTGTACATGACATGATGATGATTGTACATGACATGATGATGATTGTACATGACATGATGATTGTACACGACATGATGATGATTGTACTCGACATGATGATTGTACATGACATGATGATTGTACACGACATGATGATGATTGTACTCGACATGATGATTGCACATGACATGATGATTGTACATGACATGATGATGATTGTACACAACATGATGATGATTGTACACGACATGATGATGATTGTACATGACATGATGATTGCACATGACATGATGATGCATGACATGATGATGATTGTACAATGGATGATGATGGTTTTAGTATACGAGATTATGATAATGATGATGATGATAATGATTGTACAAGGGATGATGATGTTTGTATATGGGATGATGATGAGGAAGATGATGATGATGTTGATTGTACAAGGAATGATGATGATGACTGTACAATGATAAGATGCATGAGGTGTACAATTGCTTTGGTGTGAGGTGTGCAAGGTTGTTTATCTGTATGTTTAAAATGCTTTGAAAAATAAAAATATAAAAAAAGAATGTCACATTTATATATTCTCTTGCTTGTGTTATAAGAACTTCTATTCTATAACCCTTTTCTGCTTACAAATGGCAGATATCTGTAGTATTTAAAGTAAACGAGGGAATCATACACAAAGCAATTTTACCACGTAGTCTATACATACATACCTGGTACATTTCATGAAAATAGGATCTTATGTGAGTTTTCATTAAACAAATTTAAGATTCTGTTTATCACAAGATTAAATTATTCCAGTATGTATTGTAGAAAACAAACATTACTATGGTGAACTTGAAGTCAGTATAATTTGCTCTTTATCTATGGCCTCTATTGTGATGTCATGTAATCGTTTGAGTTTGTGAAGTAGGTTACACCTATACAATGCACAGATGAATAGCAAGGCCATGTGATAAATAATTTTATTCACTTGTTACATGTATTAGTTTTGCATTGATGTCAAACTAGTGATATCAGAGAAATGCCCCAAACAAGCATCAATGATAGGCCCCATTCCCAATTAAAATTATCTTGTAATCAAGACAAATTTCCAAAATTTGCAATTCCGATGATTCTACCCCTGATAATTTCCTTCTCATTTCACCAATTTTCTTCCCAAAATGAGACAAAAATGCCCCACCCCAAACCTGAAATAAGTCCTGACAGAGTACGTACACAATTTTCTTCCCAAAATGAGACAAAAATGCCCCACCCCAAACCTGAAATAAGTCCTGACAGAGTACGTACACAGAACAGGTACCGTTCTACTTCTCAGTACAACACATCATGTTGTGAAATATTTATCATTTACAGTAGGGTAATTTAACTGTATCTTGACTACAGTCAGACTTCCCTTGAAAAATGAAATTATAGTCAAATCCGTCATCTGCATAACATTGAAAACGTAACACACTTGTCGGGTATCCTGTCAGTGTCCGAATCAACACAAACTTGAAAATTCCAACAAATATAACATAATATTATTTCAACATTTTCTAAAATGTTTGAAATGTGGTGTTTTTGCTGCCATGGAATTCAAGATTTGGTTGATTATGAAGAAAATGCAGTAAATTGTGAGATGAAACATCACGTAACACTTTCCACGTCAGGCTGTATGTCTACATCTTCCACCTTGTTGATGTGTTCCTTTAGTCTGTTGATGTTTTCTTTTTTTTGTTTCAGTCGTTCGTTAAGTTCCTGGATCTCGTAACGAATTTTTTTATTAGCTGCTTTCATGTTATTTAGGGTTTTCTCCTTTCTTTCATCAACTGGAAAAAGGAGAACATCAAGTTATACCATGTTTATTTAACTATAAGCCCATTTCTATTAATAAGCCCACCAATGTCTATTACTATTCAATAGAACAGAAATAATGTCATATCGTTTTTTTATCAGAAACTCATCCTCTACATTTGAGTCAGATGGTATGTGTTGGGCTCCTTTGGAATTGACAAATGTTAAGTATTTCAGCCTCCAATGAGTGAGTCAATATCTGACTAAAAATAGGGAGGTTGGCTTATTACAAGACAATGATGAGGTGTCTGTCGTCATAACCTCTGACTCAAAGCAGGGAGGTGGGTTTATTACAAGACAATGATAAGGTGTCTGTCGTCATAACCTCTGACTCAAAGCAGGGAGGTGGGTTTATTACAAGACAATGATATAGTATTGGTTGTTATAACCTCGGACTCATAGATAGGGAGGTGGGCTTATTACAGGACAAACATACAAACATACTGGCTAATTGTCTGGCATGGGTTAATAACAGAATACAGACAACTTGTAAACTTTTGTCTTCTGTCCCAAGTCAAAATACAGCTAATATCTTAAGACACTGACCATGTATTCTATTTGACCTGCAACGTTGATTGAAAATCAGACAATCAAAATTTCAACAGTTTTGTTGTTCAATCTTTGTTTACCTGATGTTGACCTTATGCTGAACTTTGCCTGATTACTTATGCCAAAATAATTACTCTTTGAAGAAATATATTCCTAAACTTCAAGAAATATGACAGCGATTTTTCCTGAAATTACCTTGTTATTACAACATATGAAATCGCTTATTTTCAACAGTGATTCTTACTGTTAAACATAATTCTAAAGTAATTTCAAAAAGTAATTCTGTAAAATAAATACAGCAGTTTTCCAGCAAAAATAGACATGGCAGGTGTAATCGGACAATGGCAGCGCCAGCTGTAGGATAGAAATTAACACATGGTGATATTTCTGGATATCATTCTTTAAACATAATATATAACAGGATGTTATCAGGTACGTACAATCAGTCTCATGTTTGTACGTCCCCAGGGACATCGGTCGTGTGTTAGTCAGCGCGTGATGCATCATGGATGTTGGGTCTTGGAACACCTGAAATATCACAAACATTTATTTTAGTACATGTTTCCATTGTATTTCATTAGTACTAACTCACTATAATAATTACCATTTCACTTTATCAACTATCAATAGTTCCAAATGTTTGTAAGCCTAATCAACAGTGTTGAAATCACACATACAAGTAATTATCTACATATTAATGCCCAGTTAATTACGATGTCATGTCTTTCTAGGCTCGATGTTACATCATACGCATCCCAGTCAACATAAATTGAGGCCCTAACACTGTATATGTAACCAATCAGCATACAAAGTGAAGTGTACAGTAAGCATAACTATATATATTGTCAAAACAGGAACAGCATTTCATTACAAATTTTGTTAAGATAATCGTGACAAGACTATCCCGGTTTATCATAACTTATTCGTTATTGTTATATATGTTTCGTACCAACTCGTCATAGTACTCCACCACCAGAGATTTCTTGCCCAGCATAATATCTGTCTCACTCTGGAACAACTTCAGCAGGTGGTATAACGTCACCTAAAACACAATTATAACTAATGAAGGCTTAGGTCAATGTAAAGACTGACTGATTAAGATTCTATACTAGAAACATTTAATGTGGAAATTACCAAAACAAAATCCTTAAAATTACAATAAAATGTGCAAGGAATGTTCAGTACAATAATCACTTAGTTATTAACACTACATTCAAATGAAATACATGTACAATAAAGAGTGACTTTTGTTTTAAATTTTATTGTTCAACTTTTTCATTGTTATTTTCATTTAAAGCATACATTCTTTTTTAAAACTTCTCAATTGAATTCTTTTGAGTTAAAATTGTAACCATGAGCTGCAGAACATCCATATATAAATGTACTATGTATATACCAATACATCTAAATGTAACTTTCGAATAAAAAATATTTCTGTCATCTGAGGATGGAACAGGTTTCAGTGTCCACACAAGATATCAAATGGAAAGTTTGGTGTTTTTGTACGTCTTATGTTTGTATATCTACTACCATATATTTTCTGATGATTTAATTTGATATTAATATCTGTAACTTACTGGTCTTTCATTTGGATCCACAAAATAAATTTTGATGATGACCTCAAACTCTCCCCATCCTGTCTCAGTGACTTCATATGGTGGCTTTGTTACAACTGAAACACAAATATTTAACCTAATTATATTCTTCATTTTACATGATAAATAACAATGTAAAATAAATTTGATATGGTGCTTGTTACCTCAGAAGTTACCTCCCTTGGCCCTGGTTGGATAAACCTGAAAGCTATGAGCCCCAGTGTGATTTGGGGCTTGCTGACAACAAAAGATCTAAACCATCATTTAAATTAGTTACAATATGGTTTCTGTAGAAAATTTTCCATTTTTGTTTTCACAAAAAATTACACCACATAATCAAACAGAAAATGCTAATTTATTTTGTGTTAAACTTTATATTCAATTCTCTGAAATTCAAGTTTTCCTCAATGAAAAAACTGCATGCAGGTCACGCAACTCATGTCACCAAATTTTAATTGATGAGGCAACTAGAAATAAGATCAGTCAAGACGACAAAAAATAAAAATAATGTCTATTTTTTTCTTTCTCACAAAAAAATTACACACGAAATGTAACAGAAAAGAACTTAATTTTTGTTTTAATTAGGCAGTCTGGATTGACAAGTTCATTACAATGATGAGCATAATTGTACTTACCTCTGTTATGGTTTGGGTAACTGTCATGAAGTTTGAAATGAATTTTCTTAATGTATCCTGACAGATCCTGTAGTTAAACAGAGACTTTTTTTTAAAAGTGATGCTCTTTCTTAGTGCTAATTACAGCTTAATCAAATCAAATAATTAATATCTAATCCTGATCAGAATATCAAATCCATTTTTATTTTAAATAGATTGACTTTTTGGCTTGCCTTTCAGTTCCTATGGGCAGCCAGGATTAATATGTGCACAACATCAAAATATCATCCTGTGCTAATAATTCTATCCAAGTCTGAATTATTTCTGACAGAAATTAAACAAAATGTGCTCAAAAATGTGATTTTCCTATATAGACTAGAGTAGATTTTACCTCCCTCCCGAGGGGAATATATAACACCCAGAGATCATGATATCACATATTTTGGTGAAGCACCTTAATACTCTTCCATCCAAGACAAGTTTTTGATCTACCATATCTATCAGTTGCTATGAAGATTTTTGAAATTAAAGTTGGTCCTGCCCCTAAGGCTCCTTGGGTAAGAACCATATAATTAAAAATTTGGTTCACTTTTGGCCATGGAAAGTTTCTCAGAAATTTCATTAACGTTGGTTCAGGTGTATTCCAGAAGAAGTTGTCAGTGTTAAAATTTTAAAAGGCATGACCCACTGCAAGATGCAAGACAAAATGCCATCACAATAGGTCACCATGAGATTGTCTCATGTGACCTAAAAATGACTAAAATATTTTTACTTCAATTTTACATGAATTTACATTTTACATGTAAATAAACGGTACCTCATTTTTATAGGGTTTGACATAGACTGTCCACTGATGAGTGTGTCCATCTTCCTCCCTCTTCTTTCCAAAGTATCGGGCAATGTTACCATACACAATTGGCTTTATTACAGTGGTACCCTGAAAATTTCAACTTTATATGCAAATATTTATCTGGTAGTGATGTGTTTTGATAAAGCAATCATTTGTCCATCCGTTCATTCCAAACTACATTGAGGAAATGGAATGAAATGTTTAATTAAAAAATTTCTTCTCAAAGTTTGTGCTACAAGTAGCATAAAATACAAAACATTAATATTTTAAGCCCTCCCAATTGCTAAATAATAATTGGATTTCAGTAAAACAATAAATATAATTTGTTTTGGTTAATACCAACCTTTATACGCCCACCAGGTTCAGTCCCAACTTCTGCCATTCCAAAACCATTCAAACTGCACAACAATGGCTAAAATCAAATATTCTGTGCAAAAACAAAATAGAGAAAAAAGTTCAAAACATAAAAGAATATTCTAATTTTACAAATAAGCCCAGGAGTTTCAGAATCATATCCTAATTAAATATGTATGTTGTTGACAGAATTAGAATTAAATGCTAGGAAAAGAATAAAATAAATAAGAAAATAAAAATCATGGCCAACCTCAGACCTTTCTGTCTTCTTCAGGTTTCAGACTTCAGAAGCAAGATTTTGACTGACAAAATTTAACACTTTGACCATGAAATGATGGGGTCATAAAGCTGTTTGGAAGTCTCAAAATCAATTTCATGTATGAACTTGCTGCCAAATGTTTGGAATTTGGAGTTTAGAGAGATTCCATATATAGTCGCAGCTATTGTAGACATGCTTGAAAGGAAAGTTGTTGAGGAAAATGAGTGGAAATACTCAAAGAATCGCTTTGACACATATTCAAGTCAGTAGAAAGTTTTTTTCCAACCTTTCCAAGGGCATTGATTTATAAATATCACACTTTTTAAAACTATCTAAACATTGCCTGAATGCTGATTCTTCCAACGGTCACTATTGTTAGTATTTGGTGATTTTATATAGGTTGGAAATTCAGACTGTCAGTCTGCCACAGAGACAAAATAAAATTTTGGGACTAAAACGGTGGGTTAATTATCAAGCAGGATAAATGTTTCATAATTAAGTCGGATTGTGTTTGGCAGGAATCACTTCTATGACATAACAGGTCGCTGGTCAGCTGTTGTATCATCTGACGTTATTGTGCCTGTCATAAGTTTCTCGCCGTGTAAACCTTTAACATTTTTAGAGTACAGACAGGAATGAGTTTACCTGTTGTTAGATAAACGAGCTTAATACTGAATGATACAGAAGAGTTTGACTTGCATATGGCCTTGCAAATGGGAATAATTTATTCAATAAAAGAGAAATGACAACTGTCTCAACATTACCCTTACTGATGTGCTGTGGGCTGCATGGAGCAGCAGAAAAAATTACCGGTCCCTGCCGGTCTGTTTATAAATACTCACCCTCACGTCTCTTTTCTGTGATTTGGTTGTAATGCTGCAAACAACGTGATGTTACAGTACATCAGCTAGTACTACTATTGACATATGTCAAAGCCTGTAGGTCCTATGCAAAATAAGACGAACTTCGCACATCAACAATCATTCAACAATGCGCCAAATTATACCGGAAGTGAGTGGAAATTACTACTAAAAGAACCAACTGAAAGGTAAAATGTATCCGGACGGACGCTGGCTGACAAGTACGATGCCGCCGCGTTACTATGTTATTTTGATTACACTGCGCAGTGTTGAAATGGCTTGTTTATGCTGACATATACATTATGTATCTCAAACTTTGATTTCAGATTCCTTGGGATTGTCTCTGCCTGGGGATCTCCACTTTTGTTTTAAATTTTAAATTTTTTTTACAACAGATTCTGCCATGAATTTAGAATATATTCTTAGCCACTGATTCTCCCTGCAAATATTTACCGTGGATTCTGCAGGCCGATCTCCAATTTTATTTTAGAATTTTGTTAACAGACTCTACATGAAAAAATAATAAATACATACTGTTTTTGGATAAATACATGACATGACCCCCCGTCACACTCTTTTTTTTAGCTGCAAAGATTTGTGGTAACTTCCTTTCTGATGAAGATTTCATGGTGAAGGTTGAATATGTAAGCCGTGTGTACAGAATGAGGCAGGGTTAAACTAAACAGGTAATACAGGGACCCAGACAATAAACAACTACCTCAGTGTTGTGTAGATATTATGAGAAAGTCGTTTGTTCCGTCGTCTATGATGAATTTTTTTTCAAATAATCTAAGATGTGCCATAAAATCGGGTGTATCTCCTCACACTTTGAAATCTAAAATCCGTCGCTAACCTCCATCAGCACCTCATTCTCTGCTATACACGACGGATAAGGAATCGCTGTACATAGTGAAGGTGGAACTTTTCCAATCCCCAAATGTTTGTGTTCAAAGTTTTTTTTTAAATAATAGACGTGTTGTTTGATACATGGTGTGATTTGAATGTAGATTTCAACATTAAGAATCTTCTTGTTGGGGACAATGATGCTAATGAAACCAACAGTAACACCGTCAATCTGTCCCAACCTTTATACAAGTAAACTAAGTGTTTAAAACTATCTCAATAAACCTTTTATATTCGACAGGGAATACATACTCTTTGCCTCTCTTTATGCCCTCTTTCTATCACCTCATCTTGTCTTTATTTAAAGGTTTTGGGCCACAATCATTCATAATGCCATATTACAGTCTAAAATAAACCCCGCGAAAGCCGGTGTAGCATGTTATTATGAAGCGTGGGGAAATGAACCGGGGTCAAAATACCATAATGGTGGTGTGAGCCGCAATTTCATTTGTATTAAATATTGTACAACAGGTAAAAAACTGAAAGTTTTTATTTTTATGATGCAAAAAAGAATACTTCACATTGACATTACTTCTTAAATCTCTCTTGTCCCTGGCAACTGTATTTTTTTTCGAAAAGTAACGCAAATTTTCGTCATGTTTAAGTGCCTTTTTTAAAGAGAATTAAATCTGGAAGTCATGGATGATGTTGATATTTTATTTCATTTAAAAAATCATTTAATGATTAAAAAAACAAAGGTTAAAGACAAAATAAACATGTAGATATGCTGGATAAATTCTTCGGTTACACGGTTTTAGACTAAACTCTGAAGAAGATGGTTGAACACATACCATAAAGATATTTAAGCTTTCTAGTGCTCGATTCAAAACCTGAAATCATCATATATATATTTGAGCTTTGCTGCACCAATATTATCCTTTAGTACCTATAAAGCTTAAATTTCCCCGTGTGCGACATTCTTTTTCTGAATGACAACCTCTGTCACTATTATGTAAGGTCTGTGATGAGAATGATCGTATGCATATGACTTTACTCTGTCGAAGTATCCATCAAGGATGACCATTTTTTCTTCCTCCGTTCGGGAAGTGGACAATCCGCCAAGTATCACGTGGGCCATCCATGACCTGACAGACGCGACAATTCGGCGGGAATACTCCAATTTTTCTGTCTCATCTGTAATAAATCGGACGCTTTGTTTAATATCAAAGGATTAGCGTGGTTATGTCGAGGTGTCTATAACACTAATGGAGTAAAGAGAATGTAGTTAACCAAATGCTTATACTCTTCAATACAGGCACAAAATATATAACTGTTACCATTATATTTACGTTTTATAACCGCAGATATTTATCACACATTTATAAAACAATTTACCTTGTACAAATAGCTAAAACAGCACGAGTTGAAAGTCAATGTTATACAGGAAGTGATAGGCGGTACCACTTGGGCGTCATTGACAAAAATGTTTATTATTTTCTTTTTGCAAATATAGGTATTGTATAAAATTTCATTTTTGTCGTTTACTTGTCTCTTCATATTGAAACCAAGTTAAGGATATAAGGAAATATTACATAATTTAAATTTGTACTGTGTACAAACATCATCGACATGTGTCTGTTTCAATAAATACAAATATTAGGATTGGTAAGCTTCATCTAATTACTATACAACACAGCTGTGAAAATACTAATTCCTTTATTTTGAATGTGTGGTTTAGCATACTGTCTATTAATAATGAATCTGCCCTAATTGGCCCACTATTTTATTTTTAATATATTCCTAATATTATATCCACTATGTATTTCATAGATACTTCTATATGAAGATTCTACCTTTGTCAACAATACCAAATGATGTGTGATCCAAATGATGTTTCATCGATTTCATCGATATCAATTCCAATCCAAGACCTTGTACTTCTGGTAATGCGCTGCTGAACGGTTCTTTAAAATCCTCCGCCTTCCTCAGGTAGTGACCATTGAAGTTGATTGCAAGATATTCTTCCTGTGTTATGTTAAAACTGTTATTATAAAAACAGTAATTTCCGTTGAGTATTTAACAAGCATTTTATTTGTTGGTTTTTCACGTGCACGTTTTATCCGTGACTTCACACGTCGACAAATGAATTTCCTGTTAAACAAACATCAACAAGTTTGCTTTATGGTATTTATACCTTAAATCAATCAAGGACCTATGATGTCGTTTTCGGTCACCTCGGACGTGTCAAGTGACTTGTTCTAACTGTTTTTGTCCTCCACTGTGCTCACGTAATCAATTTACATTTCCTACTTCTAAGAAAAAACTTAATCAATTTCATTTAATTTTAGGCAACGCTGTTTGATATCATTTTTAGTTCCCCTTCAGCTCTTTGCATTACCATTTGGATTGACTTGCTGTGTTGCTGTGTAGATTAGTTAAAGCCACACGTTTCTATGCGCCCTGGTACATTCAGATATTGAACTCTTGCAGTACTCCTTGTGACACTCTCAAAACCCACTCCAACATTTACCTTAGTTTTTCATATGTTATACAAGGCAAGAGGTCAATATCATGGGCTTGAACGATCGATGTCTTTAAGAGAGATGCTCGTTACAATGTTACTTTATTGTTAATCAGATTTTCATTTGAGAACGTGACTTAACTCCCTATAAGTTTTTTTTCCATGATGAATGTCGTCCTTGAAAAGAGACGCCTACCCTTCCTGATCCCCGGAACATATTCTATGGGTTAATTTCTTTTGTTAAAATTTTCCTTTCGATTCATCGATTTTGCATATTCAAAAGTTTTAAATTAGTATTTCTTTATTAACCCCACCTGTGTGATAATCCCCTCTCTTGCCATGTCAGTGATGAAGCTTCCCAAGTAATGCATCCCCTTATCTATCTGTGACGTAACGTCATCCTCTTCATCTGATGATGCGTTCAAAGTTATCAGAAAACCACCTAAAACAGAGTATATGTATTTTTAGAACTGTTTCGTTCCTTTGCCATTATATATGTGTGTGTTTGTCATCCAATAATATATTTACTAAAAGAATAAGCTTTGTTTTCTCTTTTATCCGTTCATTCTGTTATTCCAGAGAAAATTCATCGTCATCGTTTTACTGTTGTTAGTTGCTATGCATATATACGAAAACAATATGTTCGCTCTTAATCTTCACATAAGAATATGAACTGTGTCAAATAGCCAATTTTATTGATGTTTCATTTGTCTTTGTGATATCTGTATTTGTAAAGGAATCCATAATTGAAGACACAATTGATATACCTGGTTTAAGTTCACGTCCTCTTGAAATGACAAAACTCCTCCAATCGGCTTTGCCTTTTTCTTTCATCAAACGCTTTTCATTGTCATCTCCCTCACCCATGAATACACCGTTCTTTATTTGGCAAACACTGAATGTTAAATATAAGGTGATAAAGATTCCCTTTATATAAAATCACGATTTCAATTTACCCTGTATTGTTCATAATTTATATTTTTGTATGTTACTTTAGGAATCCGTCTTTACGGTGCTTTTATATGCTCTTTTTTACTCCCCTATAAAACGCTTTGCTAGTTTGATTCCTGCAATACTGTGTCCAAATTACTCACAAATGAATAAAACGTGCACTTTTGAATTAGAACCCAATCATGAATATAACAGTATCATACAGCTGTATTGTCATATAACTCGTCAGTAATGCTACATCATACAGCTGTATTGTCCTGATATAACTCGTCAGTGATGCTACATCATACAGCTGTATTGTCATATAACTCGTCAGTGATGCTACATCATACAGCTGTATTGTCCTGATATAACTCGTCAGTGATGCTACATCACACAGCTGTATTGTCCTCATATAACTCGTCAGTGATGATACATCATACAGCAGTATTGTCATATAACTCGTCAGTGATGCTACATCATACAGCTGTATTGTCATATAACTCGTCAGGGATGCTACATCATACAGCTGTATTGTCATATAACTCGTCAGTGATGCTACATCATACAGCTGTATTGTCCTGATATAACTCGTCAGTGATGCTACATCATACAGCTGTATTGTCCTGATATAACTCGTCAGTGATGCTACATCATACAGCTGTATTGTCATATAACTCGTCAGTGATGCTACATCATACAGCTGTATTGTCATGTAACTCGTCAGTGATGATACATCATACAGCTGTATTGTCCTGATATAACTCGTCAGTGATGCTACATCATACAGCTGTATTGTCCTCATATAACTCGTCAGTGATGATACATCATACAGCTGTATTGTCCTCACATAACTCGTCAGTGATGCTGCATCATACAGCTGTATTGTCCTGATATAACTCGTCAGTGATGCTACATCATACAGCTGTATTGTCCTCATATAACTCGTCAGTGATGCTACATCATACAGCTGTATTGTCCTCATATAACTCGTCAGTGATGCTACATCATACAGCTGTATTGTCATATAACTCGTCAGTGATGCTACATCATACAGCTGTATTGTCATATAACTCGTCAGTGATGCTACATCATACAGCTGTATTGTCCTGATATAACTCGTCAGTGATGCTACATCATACAGCTGTATTGTCCTGATATAACTCGTCAGTGATGCTACATCATACAGCTGTATTGTCCTGATATAACTCGTCAGTGATGCTACATCATACAGCTGTATTGTCCTGATATAACTCGTCAGTGATGCTACATCACACAGCTGTATTGTCCTGATATAACTCGTCAGTGATGCTACATCATACAGCTGTATTGTCCTGATATAACTCGTCAGTGATGATACATCATACAGCTGTATTGTCCTGATATAACTCGTCAGTGATGCTACATCATACAGCTGTATTGTCCTCATATAACTCGTCAGTGATGATACATCATACAGCTGTATTGTCCTCACATAACTCGTGTGTGATGATACATCATACAGTCCTCAGTCAGTGATGCTACATCATACAGCTGTATTGTCCTCGTCATATAACTCGTCAGTGATTGTCATATAACTCGTCGTCAGTGATGATACATCATACAGCTGTATTGTCCTGATATAACTCGTCAGTGATGCTACATCATACAGCTGTATTGTCCTGATATAACTCGTCAGTGATGCTACATCATACAGCTGTATTGTCATATAACTCGTCAGTGATGCTACATCATACAGCTGTATTGTCATCAACTCGTCAGTGATGCTACATCATACAGATGTATTGTCCTGATATAACTCGTCAGTGATGCTACATCATACAGCTGTATTGTCATATAACTCGTCAGTGATGCTACATCATACAGCTGTATTGTCCTGATATAACTCGTCAGTGATGCTACATCATACAGCTGTATTGTCATATAACTCGTCAGTGATGCTACATCATACAGCTGTATTGTCATATAACTCGTCAGTGATGCTACATCATACAGCTGTATTGTCCTGATATAACTCGTCAGTGATGCTACATCATACAGCTGTATTGTCATATAACTCGTCAGTGATGCTACATCATACAGCTGTATTGTCGTCTCGTCAGTGATGCTACATCATACAGCTGTTTCGTCCTGATCTAACTCGTCAGTGATGCTACATCATACAGCTGTATTGTCCTGCTATAACTCGTCAGTGATGCTACATCATACTACATCATACAGCTGTATTGTCCTGCTATAACTCGTCAGTGATGCTACATCATACAGCTGTATTGTCATATAACTCGTCAGTGATGATACATCATACAGCTGTATTGTCCTGATATAACTCGTCAGTGATGATACATCATACAGCTGTATTGTCATATAACTCGTCAGTGATGATACATCATACAGCTGTATTGTCCTGATATAACTCGTCAGTGATGCTACATCACACAGCTGTATTGTCCTCATATAACTCGTCAGTGATGATACATCATACAGCTGTTTTGTCCTCATATAACTCGTCAGTGATGCTACATCATACAGCTGTATTGTCCTGATATAACTCGTCAGTGATGCTACATCATACAGCTGTATTGTCATATAACTCGTCAGTGATGCTACATCATACAGCTGTATTGTCATATAACTCGTCAGTGATGCTACATCATACAGCTGTATTGTCCTGATATAACTCGTCAGTGATGCTACATCATACAGCTGTATTGTCCTGATATAACTCGTCAGTGATGCTACATCATACAGCTGTATTGTCCTGATATAACTCGTCAGTGATGCTACATCATACAGCTGTATTGTCATATAACTCGTCAGTGATGCTACATCATACAGCTGTATTGTCCTGATATAACTCGTCAGTGATGCTACATCATACAGCTGTATTGTCATATAACTCGTCAGTGATGCTACATCATACAGCTGTATTGTCATATAACTCGTCAGTGATGATACATCATACAGCTGTATTGTCCTGCTATAACTCGTCAGTGATGCTACATCATACAGCTGTATTGTCCTGCTATAACTCGTCAGTGATGCTACATCATACAGCTGTATTGTCATATAACTCGTCAGTGATGCTACATCATACAGCTGTATTGTCCTGCTATAACTCGTCAGTGATGATACATCATACAGCTGTATTGTCATATAACTCGTCAGTGAAGTTATCTCATGAAACGTAGGAGGCGACAGAGGAAAGCAGAGTCACAGATCCTTGCATTTAATGTGTCTATAAATTCAAGAGGATTAGGTGCATGTATTGTATTCTGAACAGTGCCACTCTTCGATGCAAGTTATGGCATACCTCGGGAACTAGAAATCAATATGCAGCATCTACCGTCAGAAATATCGAATTTCTGATCATTACACATTTAAAATGTTCACATGTTTATTTTATAAAACGTATTTTGTTCCTGAACGATTCACTCACATCATTCTCTCTTGGAGCTTTGGGCAGTATATATACTGGTGTGAAGATTAAATAAATTCATCACACTAACTTTATGAAACTTATGTTTTATCTATGGTCAAAAAGGGGAAAACGTGTTCTTATATAACATTGGATATCTGTTGTAGCCTATACATGCTGAAATAACTTTTTATCCGGGCATGTCTTTTTATAAATACAAAAGAAAAAGATATTAACTGTTTTACATACTTTACGGATAGATAATGTGAGGCTACTCCGGAAATCGATAGGTCCAGAGATTCATTTGGAAGACACTGTACATACATGGTTCGAGGTATAAACAGCGGAAAGACATTCTCGGATATTGTTAGTCCGGAACTCTTTTCCTCACCTGAATAAAACAAAAATGTGAAATCAAAGTGATATTGAAATAAATATACCAGTAAGTAAATTAGCTTTTTCTCCAGAAAACCCTGATCAGATGCAAAAAAAGAAAGATGTATTGTCTTTCATGGAAATAATGAAACGAACTATGACTAAACTAAAGAAGATCCTAATTATCTCTTCGATGTGTATACTCCGATATAACATCCCATTAGAGGTCATGTTCTGGTGACCTTTATTAGTTTACCTGAGACGAAGTCTCAAATGACCTATTGCGGTCACCTTTTGTCCGGCGTCGTCCGGCGTCAGTCGTAAACAATTTGCATTTTCAACTTCTTGAGTAAAAACACTCAGAGTGCTGATATTGTGCCTGCAGTATGCAGGGATGAAGGGCTATCAGGTTGTTAAATTGAATTACTTTGACCCCTGTCAAGGTCACGGGGTTAGAATGTGTTGAAAAATTATACAACTTCTCAATAATTAAAAGACCAAGAGTGCTGATAATTGGGCCTGTTGAATGCTGGGATGAAGTGCTACCAAATGATGTTAAAATAAATTACCTTGACCTTCATTCGAGGTCACAAGAGCATTGAAAATTAAGCCTTCAAACTTTTAAACAATGAAAACTTTGTAAGTATACATATATCAGTTCTGTTCTGTCACAGCATGTAGACAAACGCATATCTACATGTCAGTTTCATTAAATGCTGATGATTTGCAAAGAGTAACGGAGCGAAAAGTAGAATCTACATTTTTAATCTGATTGAACTATAGAATAGCGAATTAATCACGTTATCGACAAAAAGGAAAATCTAACGCATAAAAAATATGATTCTCTATTCCATGCATTCTCTTAAGTTGAATTTTTCTTTCTATGGCATCCTTAATGCTGATCTACAAGCCAAACTTTTCAAACTTGTTTTTTCTTATGCCATCAAAATATTTCTATGTTTGAACGATTTTCATGCGGTAAAGATTGAGATTTTATAGAGGTTTCATTTACACTGAAAATTAATTAAATAGAAAACTATAATGCATCAAATGAATCTGTGTAATTGTTATTTAAGAATTTAAAAAAAGGAAAAAATTACAAATTGTGCAGTATATATTTAATTCAGGAAAACACGTCAGCAAATTTAACCATATAATGCAACGAGGGAGATCTATGAACAATTTACAATGAAATTTACAAGAAGATCCTTGAAAATATACAAGGACAATGGAAAATACTGTTCACCATCATATGTAAGGTGATAGCAACATAAAAGGAATATATTGTAGCATACCTTCGACAACACTACTCAGAAGATTGAAGTCATTTCTAGGTTGATCATTGTAGTATATAGCAATGGCCTGATCCTTTCCAAGATCTGTCTGTATGATATCTGTAAGAAAGTTATATAAATGTTTGCATTGATACGTGTCACGATATATCGGAAGAATCATTATCACTAGGAGAAATGTTTCTACATTAATTTTTTTATTGAAAAATACCAAATAAGATTATTTAAGACCACTTCCTTTGCAATGATGTCAATTACATTGAACGATTCTTTTCTGTTGAGAGCTATTGTAATTTTTACCGATCATTTCATTGATGAGAGACAGAGAAGCTCGGCCATCAGCTGTCCCGAAATCTGCTATCTGCACTGGTTGATCGGTCTTGTGCGTTGATTGTGAAGGCAGTATCTTTCCTACATGAATATAAACAATAACATTTTATAAATAGAATTCAATGTAAAAAAAACAGGCATTGAGAAGTGTTACAAAAGATTCAAAACAAAATATGTTTCATATATCAGTTTGCAAGACTTTAAAATAAATTGATTTATTACAAAGTTCAGGAGATTGTTTACATCTTTCGAAATACAAAGGTATATCACTACATGTCGTCAGATGTGCAGAACATGTGTTGTTTCTGCCATGTCTTTTGATATAACCTACTGTATTGTACTATGTTATCGGAGGAGGTGAATGTGGGTCCCCGGCATAATCGGTTTTGTTTTGCTTTAATTAAGAGGACATTGAAAAGATCAACACTTGGGGTCGTTATATAAATGTGAACGTAATTGCATTTATCTTGAAATATTTTCTTCAGGTAGGCAATGTCAACAGAATAGAAGTTCTTATAACACAACCAGCAGATTTCTTCAGTTGTTTCATTTGTTGTTTGCTGTCAATTACTACCTTTTTGTAACAAGAAATAGGGATATATAATTCGATTATTAAGCACCAACTTAATTGTTACCTCCATGGACAATTAGCTCCATGAGGAATTGCTGGAAACCCCACCTTTCACATGAGCACATATAACTATTTTTGTACATGATAAACGATATAGAGTAAATGGATTTTTAAGGGAATTTACACAAATGCCTGCATCACTGTATCTTTCCAAATGAATTTTATTTAGATTGCCTTGGAACACCCTTGGAACATGTCATGGCAAAATTGATGGCACAAGCAAAGTAGCTTGATATGTTCCAAGAGAAAAAACTCACAAATCACATCCTTATACGCTTCTTTTTAACATTACAAAAAAGTGACACCCAACTTCAAAGTCATTACAATATACCATTATGTGACCTCGAGATTTGTTTAATGTACATCAAAAGATCGTTTTAGTAATTTCATCTTGTCAACAATGTGTCACACATGGCATTTTGCCATGACCTTTTCCAGGGGTACAGAAACGGGGTGATTCAGTTAATAACTTACAAAGCAAGCTGCAGTTAACTTAATACTTGTGAATTACAATTTTAATAAATGACATATTAATGTAAAGTAGGAGAACCTGTATCAGACTTACACATACTCAGACATTCTATAATTGGTGTTCTACAGAGATTAAGAGCATGCCCGTGGACACAATACTTATACATACTCAGACATTCTATAATTGGTGTTCTACAGAGATTAAGAGCATGCCCGTGGACACAATACATATCGTCCACATCTCCGTTCAGTTTGGTGTCTATCTTCATAGTGGGAAAATACCTAAAAAGAAAAATATTTCTCCTATAATACCAGGATATCCATACAGAAGTTAACGTACAATTTAGGAGGATTCAAAGTCCACATTCAAACTAGTTAATTGAAATATTAAAAAATCCGTTAATTTTTTCAATATTAGAAGAAAAAGAAAATATTCAAGGGTATATATTTATTATTATTTTCTTTAAATCTCACTTAGCAATAGCGTTATTTTGTTTATGTTGTATCTGCTTTAAACTCACGGATGTTTGTACCCTTGCAAAGTCATGGCTTTTTTATTACTTAATCTGATTTTATCACCTTTACTACATCAAATGTGATGGAATTATTTGATAACATTTTCAAAACAACAGCAAAACGTTCCTTATAAGGCCCTGAAACCTTAGGTTTAGGGTATTTTTAATTTTTAAAGTTATATTGAAATTACTTAATTAGAGATAGAATTCCTTGAAAACAGTGGTTTATATATACTTTCAAATTTATTGCCCCTAAGGGCGCAAAGTTTAATAACTAGCTGTAAACATGTGACATATATGTTGTTTTATACATATATAATAAACGTTCAATTAAAATAGTTAAATGTGCTTAACTCGTGTTGACAGCTAAAGATCAGCACAGTGTTGTGTCGTCACAGGGGAGTGAAGATTCGCATAACCCACAAAGTTATTAGATGTGAAACAAATCTTATTTGTAAAGTTCAGAAGGTTGATGTTAAGGTTAATTAACGACCGTTCAAGCGATTTATCCAACGACCTAAAATTTGTTTCAATATATTTACTCCGATTTTTATTACCAGCAGAATCTTTAAGGTCACGCTCTAATGATTTAGCCCTTCAATTAGGAAAACCTATCGACCGTGATAAAGACTTTAAAATATGGTAGGTACAACTTCAAATAAATAATAAAGTGATAAATCACACGTACTTATATCATAATCTTCGAAAGGTGAGAGGATTTAATACATAAAAATACCAATACTATCGATAAACATTCAAAATAAACAAATACCAACGCGTTGTCATTGTCGGCGATGAAGCTGTTTTGTAAACCAGTTTCTTTCATCTCTCTTTCAAAAAGCCTGATCTTTAAAATATAATTTTTTTATATTCCTTTAATAAAATTTCAATTGATAACGGGCCATCTTTTTAATTCCTCCTACTCCTGCAGGAATGATTGGGTTTTGCCAAAATTTGGTTTTAAACATCGTTGCTAAACAGGACTTTATTTTTGTAAAAACGGTCGGTGCGTGACCCAATGCGAGCAATGCATGTAAAGATTGTACAAAAGGAACCTTAACAAGGAAAACAAACATTTTAAAAATTATTTTCCATTTAGAATATATGAAGCATCATGGCGAACTAAATAAGGTGAGCGATACAGGCCCTGTAGAACACTTCTTTCAAATATTGGTATTGGCTTTGAGATGAATTAATGCAAACTCGTTATTCGGATGTGTATAAATATGTCCTTTCGAAGATGTTCTTATTTCCTCTACGTATTCTTAGCTGAAAATACCCAACACCAATTTATCTTTGTTCTCTAACTATCGTCATAGTCTTTTTTTATTTAATTTATATCTAAATAATTTATTTTAATTGATATCAACGAAGATCTGAATAAATAATATCATTACAACGACAAAAGGTGTACTTTTACTAACTCCCAGAAATCTTGTACAAAACAAAATAAAAATTTATGTCAACGTCAGGTGTTTTATGGAAATATATCTCAGACTCATAACTTGAAATGTAAGGGTTTCCATATCAAAAAATTCTAACGACCTGTAAAAAAGAATGAAGCTTTAGGCCTAGTGTGCGGAATTTCGCTGCCTTTTTCATAATTCGATATTAAGCATCACAAAATTAATATATCACTACATATTATAACTAAAATTGAAATAACTAACAATTACCTTGCCATCGTCTCTGGTGTGGGTGCCTTTTTCACTTTTTATAGACGTTCTCTCCGAGATGTCTCTTTTTTATATACACACATATATATGTACATTCCCTACACTGGGACGTCTATGAGTCAAATGATTGTACTGCTGTTTTTTAATCTTTTATTCTGAGCCATGCACCCGAGATCCTAATGTCATGCTGTGTCAGGAACAAGTGGTGCGTTTGAATTGTAAACTACATATCTTTTCACGGACTAAATAGCAAAATTAAATAGAGGTACGCTGCACTAGTATGCGGCTACACAGGGTAGTTCGCTTTGCTGTGTTTCATATATGATTATTTTACACAACAGATGTCCACAAAGATGTTATGGCCAACAGGAAATGGTCTTAACAGGTAAAGTTCCTCTTGCTTTACACGGCTGTTATTGAAACAGGGTAAATCACCAATAAAATCTCATTGATGTATTTAAAATTATTAATATTACAAGGCATATTTTAGGACAAATGAGATATTTTGTGCAATCTGGATGGCTGCCACAAAATTGCAGCTCCCATGAGCTTTGTGAGAGACCTTCCTCTATCAGGTTGGGATAGCATTTGATTAGGTAAGGTGTCCAGTGCCCTAACAGTGAATATACCATTCAGCTGCGAATTGTGTGAGTGTTTTCTCATCATTACAATGACTAATTGTCACATTGTCTGTACTGGATGGTATGGCATAACGTTGTTAGAATAGGATACCTTATAACACAAATTAAAATCAGGTGAACTAGTTCACGATGGGTCAGAAAGTACAAAAGGTGCTGAAGTGAAGCAAGACAGACAACAGGTCAGCCTTGGGTGGGATCAGGAGGGGCAACACACGTGTGAAATACTTAATAATTAAATAATTTATATTTCTTTACCTTTCAATAAATATATATATTGGTTTTTGTTTATGTTTGTGCAACAAAGTAACATTGTGCTTATTTGTACATGCACGTCATGATTTTTTAACGGTTTTGGGATCGCACAACTATACACTACATTCCCAACGTTGTGGCAAAGCCAGAGGGACAGTTCTAATATTATGACTGTCTGCTTCTTTTTGCCCAGCAATTTTATGTGCGGTTCTAGGGTGGGGATCGCAACCATTTTCAAAGTTTCAAGGGCAGGGCTAGACTTAATACATAAGAACATTCGTTTCTTATAGTTATGTTCCTAGGAGTAAGCGCGACAAAGTTTGCGGAAAAAATGACCTTGACCTATATTCAAATCATAGGTGTCAAATTTTTAAAAATCTTTTAACGACTTCTTCCCATGAACTAAATGTCCTACATGCATGATATTTAGCTGTTATGTTTCTAGGGTAAAGCCCGGAAAGTTTGGGAAAACAAATGATCTTGTATTCATTGTCACAGGGAGCCAAATTTGTTAAAACAACGTCTTAAATAACGTCTTCTCGTGACCTAAAAGGCTTAGAGGCATGCTAGTTAGCTGATATATACATATATATATATACCAGGTGAGCACTACAGACCCGTTGGGTGAAAACCACGGGCCTGCGCCCAGTACCTGGCGACTGCCCCATGTAAGTCTCGAACTCGCAACCCCCTGGTGGAGAGCAAGTGACAAAGCCGCTGAGAGACCATAAGCACTGAGTCAATGCGGCCAACCGTTCTGTTTATAGCACATTGTCCTTCACCTATCGACTCATTTGACTGTTTCCTTGTGAGTTCTTAGCTAGTATGTAGTCATTGTGGGCAATATGTGGATGTTTATATAAATGTCCCAAACCGCTAAGACGATTGATGTCTGTCATCAGGTCAATTAGGGATTTAATTATTTATTTATGTATATGTTCACATATATATTCTAGCAGACCTATCTTTTATTTCATTTCCAATATGATGTGATATGTTATGAACTAAGTATGCAGCATCTATGTGAAGTACAGGATTTGCATCCCATTCACTCTTCATATGCGGAACCTTCCACGCCCGTTGGATATGTGTCTTCTTGATTAATGGCCTTGAAGATCCCATGCAAAAATGTACAACTAAAACATATTTCAATGCACCTTGAAATGCCACAGTTTGGTTTCAAAATATGCAAGTTTCAAGGAGAAAAAACTAATGAATACTCTGTATACATTGGTGGTATTACGACTGAAATAGCCTTCTACATTCTGTACAAAAGTACGGGCTATTTTTTTAAAACCAGTTTTCTCGTGATATCATCTATAGCATGGAATCCTTCTCTTTGGTGACCATTGCTAGGATTTCTAGTTTTATGTACACAAATGATGAATGTAACCTTTAATAGGGTTATCAGGTGCATAGTCATCTAAACTTTTATTGATTTCTTTTTGCGATGACAGTTCTGTGATCCTTGTGCAGACGTTCTGCTAGTGACGATTCTCAAACCATCACCAAGCCGAAGAAGACCTGCGAAGGAGTTCCAATCTGCAGATCAGTGGTCAGAGTTTCTCAAGCAGCGCCACTGGAAGTCCTACCTAAGCATACATTCACCCCTTCCACGTAAAATTGGTCAATTGTTATGGGATTTTTTTCTCGCTTTACTCAATTTCCCTTGAAAGCTAACGGACATGACTGATTTGTGCAATTTGTCGACAAACGTTTTGTCTATTTACCTTAGAGATACCTATCACCCCCTCTGTATCCAATTTCAACCTCGATGTTGATCCAAACTTTTGTTTTGAATTCAGTTTTATAAATGTCTCTTGATATCACAGACAACATTCTCAAAATCAGCCCTCAGTGCTTTTATCTTCACTATCTATCATAGGAATTTAGGACCTGTGTTGAATTGGAGGGAGGATTCATGGGACCAACATCATCAACTTTGTGGAGTGACGTCACACAACTGGTGGCACTGCTACAGTTCTAAATAACCAACACAACAGGGAATCCGTACATTTCTTTATAAGACCCCAGGAGGTCAAGATGCACTGACAAACATATTAAATAAGAAAACACTAAATATCAGTGGTCAAGATCATTTCTACCGGAAATGGTCAAGACACATAAAAGTTCGGTGAAAATCAGCGATGAACTCAATGTGCTCCGCTCGCACAAATGAATGACGTCACTACCCTTCGATCTCTTCTCCTTCATGGATAGTACATCGGATCTGTAATGAAAAAAAATGTTTATGTAAAAATGGTACAGTTCAAAATGTGACCGTTTTGTAACTACATGTAAAAACATCAAAGTCTTAAAGTACCTACCTAGCGAGGCAGTGGGTACCAATAGTTGATTTGACGCTGGATACAAAGAGGAAACAGCACCATGTGCTTCTCTTCAAACTGGTGACAGAATTTCCTTTCCCAGTAGAGGTCATCCCGGGGCAGCTCTTTGCTCAACACCACGGATAACTCGAGACCATAATTGAACAATTTCATTGCCTTTGCTCGCTCGGCGAAATTGGCGTTGTCTCTCTTCCGAGATCCGGAAGGTTTCCAGAAGGATCTCCGTTTTGCCTGGCATGGGACAGTTCTGCAGTGACGACAGCGTGAAGGACCTAAACAAACAATATACATATTAATACATCTTCAAAATACAAGGGTTTCATCATTTATCTGATTAGTTAGAGCTGTTTAATCGGAAAGAAACCGTTAAACATATCCGAATGGAGACAGGAAATATATACAAGAGGCCAATCGTTCACTTGGACATTTCAGTTTCCACATAGAAATGATTTAAAACTCTAAACTATTTTAGGTAAAATAGCTAAAAATTAAATAATCGATATCACTTACGAGTTCTCCATTCCTTGACCTTAGAAAATGTAGCCACCAAGGTCTGTTTGGCTCCGTTTCCAAGCGACGGCGCATGTCCCATAAACAGTGTCAGAAATACACACATAAGGGTATAGAACACCTCGTGTCCAATTCGCTGAAATAAATTAAATACACAAAAAATAAACATGATCATTTTATGGAAATAGCTTTTCATAGAATGGTACATATGCAAGAAGATTGGATAGGAATAAATACGTTTCCTACCTACCTATAATGCAAAACTACCGATTGATAAAATATGGAATGATTGATGAATTAAAACGCGTAGATCGTAACACAGGGACTTGACACAAATGTTTTGTTTTTTTTTAAATCCAAGTGTAAACGAATCCTATAAACATGAAAAGAGGGATATTCAACTGATTTTTTTAAGTATGGTTGTGAGACATTGAAAACAGAATCAATTTCACCCTCGAAAGTTAGGACCATTCAAAACCCAGTGGTTACAATATAAAACAATTATCTTGATTTCAATAATGCTGACATGTTCAGAAAATAATTGTGGTATGAAATCCTTACTAAGATCAAATCGGCTGGCGTTGGGCATACTTTCTTGATTCCGTTGGCAGTGACATAATGATAAAATCTGTTCACATATCCAGGCTCTGGCTCCACGCTACACAAATAAATGATGAAGTTTACACTAAGATTTCAGGACGAAATATTGGTTTCTCCAAAGATGTTTGATATTACTGTGAAGATTGTTAATTTCGAGGTGTTTTAATTTTTCGATTTTTTTATTTTCATGAGGATGGAATGGAATCACGGAAAAGAAATATTGAAGAAGAAGAAGTAGAGAAGAAGAAGAGAAGAAGATAAATAGAGAAATTATGTAGTTTGTTCCTGACTTCCGTAAAATCAATATTTTGGTGATATCGCAAAAATCTAACAATCGAAAATTACGATTTTCACAGAAATTTGAATGTCATTAATCATATCATCAGATTAAATGTCCAAACTTACCACATGAGGTCCCGATAAGCAGCAGGACCTTGATGGATTGTGGTTAGCATTACCACAAACAGCAGTAACAGCTTGATATCCATTGTGGTACGCCAAAGATTCAACATAAAATGATGATATTTGGGGAGAGACTCATCATCTCCGCCATTGTCGATTGCTAAGCAGCTTAGCAACTAAAATGTGACGTCACAAATGGACCAAGGAATAAAGCCCATTATGACGTCATGCTTTTGACTTTTTAACAAAATAGAA